CGCCAAGAGTGCCCGCAACACTGCATTGCGTGCCGTGCCACACCTTGCACGTGTATGCCTTTCATGCATCCACACAAAAAAAAAACACGGACTGCGTAAGACACAATGTGCCTGATCACTTCAGTGCACTGATATTGCATTATTTTTTTTGTTCTGCTACATGTTTTGCTGGGACTGTGGGAACATTGCCAGCCTCACCTCACCCCCACGCCTCTCATTTCCACGGTGGTCATGCGTGAGCGCTCGCGTTACTGTTTTGTGGTTTAACCGCCTTTTTGCGCGCCGCCCAGGCCTTTTTGATAAGGCCCGACAGCCCAAAAATGTGCTCGGCGAGAAGGACCCACTGCCATACGGATGCGAGTAGAAGCAGGAACAGCGGCCAGAGAAGGCGCGCCTCCGCGTTGTACATGGCGTGCATGTCCTTCCCAACGGTGAACTCCACAAACTGCCCCAGCTGAAAAAGACCGGCAACACATGCCACGATAAGCGCGTCAGCCGCGCCCCAAGAGGCAAGCAGTGCGCAATGCGGGTAAAAGACAACATACAGCAGAGGCGCAATGCCGACGGTAAACGCGCATGTCACAAGGAGCGCAACTGAAGTGGAAGAAAGCTCAAACAACGTCATGCTCTTGTCGGCTGGCTGAAGCACGGAGGCTAAGCCCCCTACGCGGTAGCTCAGACATGGCACGATCCACACGGGCACGATGCAAGCGGCAACAAAAGCAACATGGAGTACGCGCCAAAACAGGCGTCGCAGTCGTACTGGCGAGGTCTTATGCGCCTCTGAAATATTCCTCTCAACTTCATCCTCGGGGTCCAAAAGCAAAACACCGTCCAGGAAGTCTTCCATGTTCATCTTCACTGAATACGGGCAGCAACGAAGCGTTGTGTTGCGGCGCCAAAAAACCGTGGCGTAGTTTCCAATGAAAACGCAAAGAATCGTTGCCGCAAGAAAAACGTAGAACCCAGCAAAGACGCGCACCTCGGCAACACCTGCTATCTGAAGACCAGCGGTCATAATCACCATCGCGTACGA